ATGATTTTAAATAAGAAATAGTCCCTATTTTAAAAATGTGAATAAAGTGAGAGTGTGTGTGTTTGTGTATATGCAAGAGTATATTAATAAAATATCTTAACCTTAGGGTTATATATTTGTATAGTTTACTTGTCATGTTTTCATTACCATTTCTCCTTTTTTAATTTGAATATTTGAAGAACTGCAAACAGATTTTTACAAAGTAACTAATTTGTTCATCTCATAGTGGAAATTCTGGTTTTATGTGGAAGACTGTTTTTTACTGATAGCATTCTAGATTTATTCTAGCTGTAGTATACTGTATTCTGTTTCCAAACGTCTCTTTTATCTTCTCTGACTTGCATGCATAACTCTTTCTTACCAAGTATTTTGGTTTAGAATTATTCTCTCTACTACTTTGGAAACAAAAGTTTTATAAAAAAAAAAGAGAGAGAAAGAATCATAGCATTAAGAATACACAAAAGCCTAGAAAACCCAACACTGAAGGGCACAATCCACCAAGAAATTTTCTTCTGCCAGCTATGAGAAAATAAAGGAGCAATTCGAAAGAGCTTATTACATTTCATAGCAGACATGGAAGAACTTGTAAGACTTTTAAGGGTTGTAACTTAGAAAAGCAATTTGCTCATTTTAGGCAAGAGAGAGTCTACTAATAGCAAATATTGATGCTAGCACAAGTCATGGGTTGAAATATTGAAAAGTCATTATAAATTAGATACCTTAGCCATATTTCATCACAGTTGCAGTTTAGAGCACAGGGGAGACATCAAGCTTGCTGGAATGTGAATACTGAAGTTTTTAATGCTTACAAAATTATCCAGTTAGTAATTTGTATGGCAAGGAAATGAACAATTATTCTGAAAAAAGCCCCAGAAAGTTTATTGATATGAAAAATCTTGGAAACATTTGCATGAATATAGATAGGGTATGACCGCCATTGACCATGAGATTTTTCATTAGGGCAAAAATTATGTTTTGGGCGAACGTAAGAACAAAAACTACGGGTATGGAGATCTAGTAATAAACATATTATTTGGTTTATTTTTAAAAGTCTTACTTTTGGAGAATGGAAACATCTATTACTAGTCAAGTGATTTAAAAAAAAACCCTGAATTTAAATAAAAAACTAATGAATGCTATTCTTTTAAAATATTTTTGGATTCACTAAATAGGATCTGTTGGTCTAATGCTCAGCCAGAGATTGGGGTGTGTGTGGGTGATGGGTGGATAATGAAAGAAAGAATAATGATTTCAGCAAACCCAATCTTTTAAACATAATCAGCAAGTATTGTTCAAAAAGTATTTGGATAACGAGGTCTTATAACATATTAGGCCAACTGCCATATTTCAACTGAAGCTCATAATAATAGAGATGGGCCCATTTCTTCTTGAGTGCCATACTTTTACTTCATGGTTAAATGGTTGTTTCTGTTCTCTGTTGCAAGCGAAAAGCAAGTGAGTGAGTAGTGTAAATATCAACCTGAAATGCTGAAATGTATGGAAGGAAGAAGAAATGAAATTGCATGATTTTCAGCTAGTCTTTCAAAAATGAAGGGTGGACTTGTAATCATGGGCCTATGCTAAACAAAGTACTATGGGTCAGTTCTGGCACTTTTCTATCCTGGTGCTTTTACTGAGCTCAACGTTCTGATTCTCACGTAGTAAGCTAACATTTGAGCAGAGGTGTTTTAGTTGCCAGCATGCTAACTAATTATAATTTAATTATAAATTGATTATAAAATTAAATTCTGAAAACACTTGCAGCCTTATTAACAAAAATGAAATTTAAATGTACTTTTTAAAAACAGTACGAAGAACATTTATTTTAAACTCAAGCAAGGTGTCCAGCAATTAGATTCAAAACTGACCTTACAAAAACTGCATTGATCACAATTCTGGCAACTCAAATGTTTTGAATCTTTTAACTTCTACAGGGGAGGTTTAAAGAAGTGGTGACCTACTCGCCATATGAAGATATTTAACTGGATGGATAATGCATATATCTTAAAAGTTGTCGGGCCAAAGGCAGAATCCAAATACCTATCTTCATTTTTTTTTCCAAAACCTGAATTTTATGAATTGTAATTGAGCCTACTCGAATAAATTTATAGCAGCTGAGCTATGCTACAAATTTGTATGTCATATATGTGTGTGTGTTTGTGTGTGTGTGTTCATCTCACACACACAGAGACCAGCTAATGAAAATTATTTTGTTATTTAGTTAAAAGAAAAATGTCTTTTTCTCTATTCCCCCCCCCCCCCAGGCTAGGACAATAAACAACAAAGATAATACTTTTAGGGAAATATTGTTTCAAGAGTCCTCTTAAGGATGTACTGTTCACATAGAACATTACAATATAACTCCATTTTATGCATATAAATGAAATCCTGTACAATCTAGAAAATAACCAAATGAAGGAAATAAAACCTGCAACCATCAATTTGCAATCTCTATGTTTGCCTTAGCCATAGTGGAGACATCCCTAATAATTCATCTAGAATACTCACTGTAAAGTCAAGACCTTCCTCAATAAAATCAGCAAATCAAACTATGATGAAGTGTGGGCATAAGTCTGACTTATATTCTTGATTTTAACCTGACATTTGCAGTTTGCATCCTTAGTGTGTATGTGTGTGTGTGTGTGTGTGTGTTTTGTTACTTTGGAGGTAGAGATTGGATGTATTGTCTTTGGAAAAAAATAATGTAGTTGGATGACAAAGAGAGTTAAGGGGATAATTCCTAATTATACATGTTAGGAAGATTGGAGAGAGATGTAAAAACCGTTGGCTTTACTCAGTGTACATCATTGCTTTCAACAGGTAGTGTATTTACAGCCACAAAAGTTAGACCTTTGTCTTTTTGACAAATTTTTGAAAAGTGGTCAAATTTGGATCTAAGAATCCAAATTCGGTTTTAATTCCCATGCCAAATTTGCATGTATAGAATTATGACATGTGAAATGTGTGCCAAAGATCATTCTTATATGAAGAAATTAAAAAAATGTTTTTGTAAACTTTTGATCACTTAAACAAACTACAATACTTAAAATTTAGAGAAGAGTCAAAACTAGATTTATGGGAGAAAAGCTGACAGGCGTCCTGTTTCTATAAGACTAGATAGTCATCCATTCTTAAACTCGATGTTATGAAAAATTGATCACTGAAAAAATCCCTTCTCATCCCTGCATTTTGAGTATTTGATACATCTCCAGTATTTGAGCATATGATTACACAGCTTTCAGGACACATTTATGTTTGGGTTTTGTATGATTTTTTTTTTTTGAGAAATATTATTCCAAGTTAAGGGAACAGTATTTAAGGTTAAGGGAGGAACCTTGTTCTCTCTCTCAACTGGTGTTAAATGTACAAGTAACTAATTTTAAGAGTCACTTGTAGAACACCGCTATTTCCATTTCCCAATCTTAAAAATAGTTCGAAGGTGATTTGTGATTGTTTGTATTGCTTATAATCTTGAGGCAGAGATAGTACAAAATAAAGAATCACAATGCTGACCTTTCCTCAGTAGTTGTAGACCTTGGAGAAACAAAAATTCCTTCATACCTCCTACAAAAGGGAAATACTGTAAAGTTATTCTTGTTCTTCAGCAGATCCTTATTCCATGCTTTGTTCATCTGTCAAACCAAAAAAAAAAAAATCTTATGAAGAGGAGCTGCAAAGCTGTCAAGCATCTTTCCCTTTAAAAGGCCTTCTCATCAGGAAGTTGGTGGCAGGATGAAGAAAGAGTTCATAGATAAGGGGATCCAGGCCACATACAGATTGAACAAAGTTTCCAATTTGTCAAAAGAATAGAAAGGCCTGCTTGACTCCATTATGAAATGAACTACAAGGTAGCCCATCGGGGAAGAAAAATAATCTCAGTTCTCAAAACAAATTGGCAGCAGGCAGTTGTACCTGTCCAAAACCAGTCCACAGATTTCCTTAGATGCACCAGTGGCTTATTCTATGACAAGTGAGTTGCCCATCATCGGCTTCCTGGCCCTGGGGTCAAGGATGCTTAACACACTTCCCTAGTCCTCAGCAATGCTGCACTTTGTAAAGAATGCAGGGACTCCTGTCTCAATTTTCTGCTACATAGGATGTTCCTCAAAGTGTGTCTTTTGAGCTCCCATCTGCCCATTGAGCCGCTTCTTAGATATTACGGGCTCCTCCATCTAGAAGCATAGTAGAATCAGACTTCCATCTTTCCATTGAGGTACTGGATAAGGGATAATTTAAAAATCTTGTACAGTCTTGCTTCCTTTGGCTATTTCTTGTTATATTTTGATATTGTTCCCTTACTCCTCTGTCTTGCTCATGAAAGGTTTTCTAAAAATAACATTGGGAAAAGAAGGCAGGAGGAGAGAGGAGGGCTGGAGTATTTTCCATATGTCGGACTGTGGGATGAGGCTGATTTCAGGTTCCCTTTTCGCTCCAGTATAGAATCTGGCTCACACACATTATTATTATTTTTGTGCCGCCAAGTGATAGACTGTAAAGTTGTGAATCAATGCTGTCTTTTAACATTCGAAACAGCAGTGATGTAATGCAGAAGGGCATTCTTTTTCATAAATAGAATATTAGCAGATCCATAGTTTGTGGTGTCACTTCTCACACAAAGAATTCTTAGATTTACCCATTACATTCTTCCCATTAACTGTCTTGCTGAGAAAGTTGTGCAAAGCATATGTGTGCTGGGATAGGTACAGCAGGTGGCCGTTAATGCATGTTGAAATTGAGTCTCTTCAGTGGAATTGATTTTTATGAACCCTTTTCTCCATTCTCTATCTTTTGAGGAGCAATCTAAAACAACTGAAATCTGTTCTCTTGCACCCCACAGTTGTAAAGTTGCATCCTTCATTCAAGGAGCCATGAAGCAACAAACATTTGAAACAATAACACGTCTAGGGCTGGGCCTGTGATCAGAAAGAAAGAGTTTGCATTGGCAAGATTATATTCTTCCTTTGAAAGGTTCAGAAGGTCTGATCCTGAACATTTTCCAGAATAAAAGGGTTGCGTTTGAGCTGGCTTTTCTGATGGCAGCAGCTAAGTTATTATGTTAATGTGACGGTGCTATGTGTTGTGATTATATTTCAACCTGATTGCCTGTTTTAATTGTTTTTTGGGGGAGTATTTGTCATGGGTCCAGAACCTTTAGGATCATTCAAGCAAAGGGGAAAAGGCAAGCAGAATGAAAATGTTATTAGCATTTTGAGTGGGTTATTGTTTTGCAGAAGATTTAGACAGCAGATTAATAAAGTAGAGAAGATGCTGATACTTACTATAGCCAAAATGCAAGCTCTCTGTTCTGATACTTGAGCAGAAACAAATTTGCTGTTCTAAAGTTCTACGTAATTTTTATTAAAATTTTAATTCACTATCCTCTGAATATTATTATAGCTTTTGTTGAATATTGATCAGTTTTGTGAGCATGCAGGTTAGTAATAGTAGATGCTAAACCTAATTACTTTATGGGCATCTCTTTTCCTGTTTAGATGATCTTGACAACAGGTAGTCCTCAACTTACAACCAGTTACTCTGCTGCAGTCACATGACCAAATTTCAAGCACTCTGCAATATGGCTTCATTTTCATGCAACATCCCATGGTCATATGACCATATGTTATTTATTTATTAAATTTATGTGCTGTCCCTCTCACTGAAAATATTATTTTGGGTTTTATGATGGTTCTGCTGTCTTCTGGTTTGGGACAAAGCTGCACCCATAATGAACCATTGGTTCACATAACAACTACCATGTTTACTTAATGGCTGCCACATTCACTTAATGACTGTTGCAAAATCGGTAATCAATTTAAGTGAGTCCTATGACTGACCCATTTTACAATTGTAAGGGGCAATTTCATTACAGTTGTATGTTAAGGGCTGTCTGTAATATCATACAACATTCATCTGTGGTAATCTGATTTGCTTGTGCAAAGTCTTGAAAAGATGGAGACATTGCTGTCAGAATAAAGCAGTCTCTCGTTAGAGTTTTGACTGGGATATATAGGGTGAACACCTTGGGATTTTTTGAGCTGAACCACCATATCAGTGATATGAGATGTGGCAGCTCTATGGAGTTTCCTAATTCAGCCTTGTTGTGACTATTTTAAATTTACCCCCAAAGTCTATTGCCCTTGACAGCACCAGAGCTGTGTTCCATTATTGGAGATCTGGTTATTCATCTTGGCCAAATAATGTTTCTCTTCTATCTTGGTTGCACGTGAATGTTCTGAGATTTCTTTTGTGCTGCACAAAGCCCTGGAGAATTGGAATAACAGTATAGGAAGCCATAGCAAGGTAGATTTTGGGGCTGAAGTGATTTACCTTGTTCAAGCATTTTCAGCAACAAATTAACAGACCGAAGGAACAGATAAAGGCATATTTAATTATGGAAATTTGATGGTATGGAATGAAAGGGAACAGAATAGTTACTTGATGTGTCCCAAAACAAAATTAATTCTATCTTGCATTTGGAGGTAATTTCACATTTTAAAAAAGCTAGAACAGCCCATACAAAAATGGAAGGACACTTCGATTCATACTATGGATGAATGGTTGCAGAAGTTGATGCAGCTGGCTGAAATGGCAAAACTGACCACTTTGATTAAAGAAAAGAATATAAGTACTTTTGTTTCCACATGGAGACTACTTCTGAATTTCATGCTTGATGTGGAGAAGAATGAAACTCTGACTTTGGGTTTTACCAGTTAGACTGATAGGTCTTTATAAAAATGGCTTGTTCATATTATTATGAAAAAGCTGTGATTTGATGTTAATGCCTAATTTTACTGTAACAGAGAGAGTCGGAAGTCAATGCTTCTTTTTCTTTCTTTCCTCACTTCTCTTTCCCCTCCCCCCCACTGCTTTTCTATTTACTTTGTATTTTATAATACTTTATAACTCAATAAAATGTTAATGACCAAAAAAGCTCTACGCCCATTAGCCCCCTGGGTCATCCTTTCAGAGATATTTCCTTATTGGATTCCTCAATGCCTTCAACAATGACAGAGGTTCTAATGTGCTGCCTTTACTGGAAGAACTGGGATACATTCCGAGATGTATCTGCCTTGAAATTAGCCCATGCTGAACTCTATAGCAGAATCAAACATCAGCACACGAAATGTTTTATGACATTTTGTATTATGTCATAAATTGTTTTATGATAAATTTTATGTCATAAAATCTTTATAAAATTTGACAGCAATCAGTTTTAATAGTATTTAAATTAAATGTGGCCTCCAAAATGCTGATGCATTTTAATCATTTGCAAAGTGTTATTTCAGAGGTGCTTGAACCAATATTACTAACTGATGACATAATTCTTGAACTGTGGTTTCTGAGTTTTGTACCTGTAAGGTACCACAGTGCCACTGGAATCTTTTACATCTCAGTATTTTAATTGCTTTTTGATTTCTATAATCAATGCATAATTGGGAACTTTTCATTATGAATGTACAAAGTATTAACATTTACAGAGGGATATCCTGTATGAGCAGGAAATTGGACTAAAAGATGTCCAAGGACTCCTAACTATGTTATTCTGTTATTAAGGAGCTGGTTTTACATTTTTTTCATTCTTCTCACTTCTTTTTTTCCTCCATTGTATAAAAAACAGTCACAGCAAAAAGTTTTTCTTCCCGTTTCAATGAACCAATCAATTATGTTGTTGCCTTTTTCATGTTCTAGAAGTTCTCTCTTAATGTCTATCTGCTATAGCCAGTGTTCTCCTGCTTAGCTCTAACTATTCATATTGAATAACGGCTGATACAGTGACTCTCAGCTCTCTCAAATTGCTAACATGGAATCTGAATGGAGAGGAAGATTTAGAACTGCATTATCAGTTCTTTTCAGGGCCTTATACCCAACAGACTGAAAGGACTATATGGTACAGAAATTTGGAACCAATAGGCATGATATCCAGATTGCCCCACATGAAAACTCCAATAACCTCTCAATGGCTCTCCAACCTCTTATATCAGCAAAAGTTTCCACAAATCAACAGTAAGGTCTCACAAACTACTTCCACATTACAACTGTGGAACTTGTTTGTTTGTTCTCCTAGAATAGTCTGCAACAGAAACAAAACAGTAATTATCTCAGCACATTGTAAAAGCAACTTTCAAACCTTCCACAAGGCTTTGGGAGTGAAACAGGCGTGGGATTCAGTTTTTTAAACAACCTGTTCAGTGGGTGTGGCTTAGTTGGTGGGTGTGGCTTGGTCATGTGACTGGGTGGGCATGGCCAACTCGACATCACTCATGTCAAGGTGCGCTTCTCCTCGCCTGGCCTCATGACGGTGGGGATGCTGCAACGGTCATAAATGTGAAAAATGGTCATAAGTCACTTTTTTCAGTGCCATTGTAACTTTGAATGGTCACTAAATGAACTGTTGTAAGTCAAAGATTATCTGTACAAAAATACAAAAAGCTTCTTTGCTTGCAAAAAACTGCCCTAAATACCAATGATTAGATTAAAAATGCCTGCAAGCCAGAGTTACAAATCAGGCAGGGTTCCAGAGCACCTTGAGGAATGAAAATAGTTAAAATGCAGTGATAACTATCAAGCAGCCAACTCTTGCTCATAAAGTGAAACCCTTTAGCAGAGAGGTCATTTAAGCTCTCCAAAAAGAGCACACCCAGGAGAAGCAATCCTTAGATTGATTTGCACCATTTAAAGATACCAGCTGGTCTCACTCATCTCACAAGATGAGGAAATCATCCAGATTTAAGGAAAGGTCACATGCCCCCCAGAAAGGCAGTAAAAAAAATCAGTGCCAAGCTTGCATCCTGCCTCTTGGAAGTACACCCCAAAAGGACAGTGCCAGATAGTCCTAAAGCAGTGAGGAAGACCCCCTCCCCAGATAGAAAAAAAAACCATGAGGCAGGAAAAAATTCAAACACAATACAAATAATTAAAGCACAACAGTAGCTGTTGCTTGTTGAAGCTGAATAGGGAAAATTATCCCATGAATAAACACAGGATTAACCATCACCAAGCACAGAATCAACCTTCACTAAAAACCAGTTTTAGACCAAAACTCAGAAAGGGTATGTAAACTCACGTTTGAATGTCAATCTAGCTAGCCAAGAAGCCTTGCTGAATGTCACTCATCTTGGTTCCCTGTCACTAAAAGCTTTGCTTCATTATTCAATTATTTCTTCAAATTTCCTCCCAATAGCAGTGTAAAAATCTTAAAACAACCCTTCCCTTTTAAGAAAGCCAAGCCTCAAAGCTCTGGAGACAGGAAGTCTAGGCTACTGGCAAGAATGTAATAAGGGTGGGAAAAAAGGAGATTGCTTCTAACTACCAGTTCTCAGAACTGCTTAGAAAGTTAACAAGGGGTTCTATAGAACAGGACAGAACCAGTAGAATCCCACCCCTGGAGTGAAGTATTGTTCCTGTGACATCATAGCCAAGACAATGGAACTCCTCCCCCTTCAGGTAGACTAACCAAACACCTGAAGGCATGAAAGAATGTAACTGAACTTGACCATGGCAAATTTGGGAAAGACTTCCCTGCCAGGGCATCAGATATTCTTGGTAGTGAAAGAGAGCAGTCTTGTGAGGCATGGATGCCTATTAAAAGTGGTTGCTATCCAATGATTTTTTTTGTTTCATAGTTTGTAGTGGCCTTTTACTTTGAAACCAATTTGCATTAGATGAGCCTCAAAATTTTAGGAAGTGATACATGCACTACAAAGTTCAATTGTCCCACCAGAGGCAAAAAATACTTCAGATCACTGCTACACAACAGTAAAAGATGCTTATAGGTCTTTATCATGAGCAGCTGTGGGATACTCGGATCACTGCATGATTCACCTTGTACCTGCCTACAGACAAAGACTTAAAAACATGAAACCAACAATTAAATCAGTGAGGGACTGATGAGGCAAAGCTGAAGCTTCAGGCTTGCCTTGATTGCACTGATTGGAATGTTTTTGAAGATACCTCTGCAGACCTAGGCGAGATCACAGATACTGCAACATCATATGTCAGCTTCTGTAAAGACCTATGTGTACCAACAAGGAACCTGCAAATATATAGTAACAATAAACCTTGGTTCACAGTTAAACTTAAGCAGCTACGTTGTTGCAAAGAGGAAGCCTACTGTCAAGATCCATGTATCTGCCATTCTTCAGAAGGGGGGGGGGGGAGTTGGTATAAGAAATCCTTTTTGATGTAACCTGGATATATTAAATCTTATATTGAATTTGGATAACCCATGATATCCATGGAGGGACAGAGACCAGATGCCCGGAACCCTGTCACCTTTGAAAAGAGACAGCCACAGGATGAAGAGACCATAAAAATTCCTGCATGGAGATGTCTCCTGGGAACCTCAAAAAAGATCGTTCTCAGAAGTTTTTCCCCGAATGCCATCACTCTGCTAAACAAATAATTCCCTCAACACTGTCCAAAGAATTTACAAAGTCTGCATTACTGTTACTATTAATCTTCTTATCACTCCTTATCACCCATCCCCTCCCACTTGTGACTGTATGACTGTAACTTTGTCGCTTGTATCATTATGATTTATATTGACTGTTTCCTAGTATGATTTGATTGCTTATTGTACCCTTTGACTATTATTAAGTGTTGTACGTTATGTTTCTTGACTCTTGATGAATGTATCTTTTCTTTTATGTACACTGAGAGTATTTGCACCAAGACAAATTATTTGTGTGTCCAATCACACTTGGCCAATAAAGAATTCTATTCTATTCTAAGTAGAAGTGCTTTCTCATTATTCTTTCCAGCTAGGAGAATTCTTGCAGATGCTTCTTAAACCAGATAGACAGCTGATTGTTGACAGTCAAAGATACTATATTCACCAAAAAGCCAGGGCAATTCTGGGCTTTTAAGGCAAGTCACTCAATTTTACTGCTTTAAGTATTAGCCTTTAAAACTATATGTCACCCAGAGTCTTATGGAATTGGTGGTGAGGTTTCTAAATCCAATAAACTAAGTAAGCTACACAGTCTTCTAAATAAATAATAAACAATTAAATAGTTGCTATTTTTCTATCAAAAATATCATTCAACTTTTACATAAATAAATCTTTATGCTTTCTCTTGTATTTTTGTTTTCCTGTTTACATTCATTAGATGTATTTAAAGCACTTACACTTTCTACTGTATACATAATATCCTTTTACTGCTCTCTGTAGATATTTATTTATTTTGTCAAGCGATTATAAGATAACAGGTATAAGTATAACACAGTTATGAATACATTAAATGGATACATATAAGAAAAATAAAAAGAAACAATAGGACAGGGATGGTAGGCATGTTGGTCAGCCATGAAGAAAGGCATATCTATTTCACTTAAATATTTGTTAAAAAGTTAAGGAAGTCATTTGTCTAGGTTAGCAACTGGCTAAGCTTGCCCCTTTAGGGGCATACATTGAAAGGAGTATTACTGCTACAATGCTATTCTAGGACAGGGAGTGGCCTGCTGGACTATGCAGATGTTCATGTGCCTAGAAGGATGTTTTCTTTGGAAAAGCCTTGTTACCTATCTCTTGGAGCAGGGGTCTCCATCCTTGGCAACTTTAAGACTTGTGGACTTCAACTTCCAGAATTCCTCCGCCAGTTTTGCTGGTTGAGGAATTCTGGGAGTTGAAGTCCACAAGTCTTAAAGTTGCCAAGGTTGAAGACCCCTGTCCTGGAGCACTTGCTGACCTCCTAGAGGTAAACATGCTGCTCTCCAAGATTCATTGTAATAAACATATCCTGTGATGACAAAATAAATATAACAAAATCCCATCGATCCATCTCTTCCTTTATAGTTCCCTAATATGAGAAGTTCTTTTACTCCTGGATGGCTGTTTTGGGTTTTTGGGGAAGTAAGGGAAATTGGAAGCTTATTTCTAGGCATATTCAGTGGAATAACGTGTAGCATGAAAGTTTACAATAAGTGTGTGAGTGTGTGTTTATGTATATGTGCACATGCACACTTTATTTGGTGCAAAGGCCAAATGTGAAATGTATTGGTGGCCATTTATCACAATAATAGTTCAGCAATTTATTTTTCTTCCAACTCTGCTTTAAACATTCTCAGAGCTTCTTATGAGCCAATGATATATGGAAGACAGGATGTTGAGTAAAATAACCTCTCATCTCAGCAAGCAGAACACTTTTTGTGTGCTGAGTTTTGTCATTTCATTTAGTGTGACATGTTCTGTCAGAATGTGCATTTTTCCCAATTTCTTTGGTGATTTTTATGGTTCTCCATCTTCTCAGTTTGAGTTATTTGTCCTGTTATGTGACCAGATTTGCTCTAGATGCTTAGAAAATCTAAATAATCAACAGAAACCTTGCTACCAATTTGGGGTTCTTTCAGTAAAGTAAATCTGATGGTTTTTTATATGGATCTAGCGGAGGCTTCTTAGAATGGCTTAGAGCAGTGGTGGGATTCAAAAATTTTTACGACTGGTTCTGTGGGCATAGCTGCGTGGCGTGGCGTGGCTTGGTAGGCGTGGCTTGGTGGGCATGACAGGGGAAGGATACTGTAAAATCTCCAGTCAGAGGTGGTATTTGCTGGTTCTCTGAACTACTCAAAATTTCTGCTACCGGTTCTCTAGTCAGAACCTGCTGAATACCACGGTCAGAACCTGCTGAATACCACTTCTGGAAATAATAAATTTAGACCAGCTTAAGAAAAAGTCTAATTTTACCCAGTATTTAAAAATGTGGCAGAATTTCAGAAGGGTTCAAGATACTCTGAATTGGGTTCCTTAACCGTTTTCTGCCAGGCCCCTTTGGGGGGTATTTCAAGTGTTGGGATTTTTTGATGTTTCATCAAAATGATCAGAGAGTTGAAGAAGTGGATTTAGGTAAAAGTGGGGACTGTTGGGAGTTACAGAAATAAGTTGGTAAGAGCAGTTTGAATTATCTGAATCATTCTGCTGGTTCAGGCAGTGTGCTGAATGATTAAAAGAATTAGATTCAATCTTATATTTATTTAAACGAGCAAGAAATATGTGGTAGTAAGGAGTTAGTATGTTCCTATGAAGAGCCTATACTGAATTTCATGTGATGTAAATACTTTTTCTTTTTTTCTGCCAATATAAACCAAATTTAGCGAAAATTTAACCAAAAATGATATTTTTGAGATTATTTTTCTGCTTGAAGCAAAGCCCATCTTAGCCCTGAGAAATGAATATTTTAAGTGTCTTGCTGGATGCACCAATTTCTGGTTTTATTCAACTCTTTTAAAGTGATGTCTCAAGTAAGTGTCCCATACTAAGTGAGTTTTCTTTTCTTTCCATTTTTGCTACAACTTTCTACCATTGTGTAGAACTGTGTTTTTTAAGCTAAAAAGAAATAGATTGAGCCCACTAATAATTTTAGTTGCTACTTCTTACAATTTTGCCAACATTCTTTTTGATACTAGATGGTTTGAGCTATAGGCTGTATTTCAAAGGATAGTGGTGCCATAGTTTATGTATAATATTGGCATTTTATTTTCAATCCTTCAATTATGGGTATCAAGGAAATTTTCCTTCTACATGGTGATCTGACACTTTTAATTTAAGGCTCCAATATTTTTTCCTTGATAGTAAATATTTAGATAATATAGAGATATATTATATATATAATATAGATATATATTATAATATAGAGATAATATAGAGATATATCTTTCTGATGAGGTATTAGAATTGATGGCCAGTAAGCCACCCAAGCTCTCTTGGTTGATTATAGAAAGCAGTTTTTAATGTGGCTTCTCAAATAGCTTCTGGGATAGAGACTGGCTTCCTTATATTAGGCAGAGATGAGTAACCCGCAGATCAGTTGTAGTCTAGTTTTAGAACTCTGAGGACTTCGATGCTGAAACACAACCAGATTAGCAATTTTAACAAGACTGGAACCTTGGAAAAATGTATAAGTGTTTAGATGGCTTTATACTTTACACTTCCCAAAGAGCATGAAAACCAACTGTACTTATTTTTGAAATTCCCAGATATTTTGATTCCATTCCTTTCAGTCCCTAGTGCTTTAAAAGAGTATAATTTTTGTCCTGCTCTTATACTATTTCTGTGCTGGAGCTTGGAGGAAATGCATGTGTGGAGTATGAAACTCTCACTTTTCCTGGTTCTTTGGGGGATTTTGATACCATTGAAGCGGGAGGCAAATGCCGAAATGGATTGTTGGGAGTCAACTGTTTCATGGGTCAATGCTAAATGCACTGAACAACAAGGATAAAGCATTCCTGGATCACTCATTGTCAAGAGCAGCTGCCTTCTTAAAAAGAGAGATTGGCCATTTCAATTCATATGTATATAAAGCTAGCATGGGGTTAATGCCATGAGCCCTTGATAGTGGATCCCATTGAATGGCAACTTTTCCAGAATGCCAATAAAAACAAGATTAGGTTGAGAAACCATGTGACTAATAATTTCTGATCATAATTCAAATATTAAATATGACAAATTGGAGATGGGGAATCTGTGGCCTTCTCATATCACTGGACCAGCACTGGCTAGTCACATATGGAGTTGGAACTCAACAATGTCTGGAGGACAGAAGCTCCCACGGGAACCCTAAGTGATATGGATTGTGTTATTTGAATATTATGCCTTCTTCTGTATTTTACATGTAAAACAAGTTTAAAGTAGATAGTCAAGGACCTTCTTGGTTGTCATATTTTTAGCTTTTAAAAATGCTAATACAGTAACCTTTTACAGAGAAGATAGCTTTACTGGTTTGAGGAAAAGACTGATAATTTACAGCATTGATCTTATGGATGCCATTATTAAAATGAAAGGAAGAAACCATGAATAATGTATTATGTGAACTAAAGTCCTAAAGGTATTGCTTACCTGTCATATGTATACAGTGTAGTGTATTCATGTACATACTTCTAATACCGCATTTCTATTGGTTAGTCCACATAGCTTAACGATTGGTTACTAATGACAGTTTCGGATTGGCCGCCTAAGCGGCAGGAAGTTTAAATAAATGCCATTGGTTGCGAGCCGCGAGCAGCCGCTATAAAAATGGCTGCTGCGGCTCGACTTCAGTTGAAGTTACTGGTTGCTAATAAAGAGCTGAATTCAACTCCGGTCTTTGAGTCTGCTTTGTCCTGGTGATAGAACACTGGCGACGAAGGTGGGATCGGAGGAACAAAGACCGTAAGCACGTGGCAACGACAGCTGAAAGACCAACGAGATGGCTGGCAACAATTCGCCACCCGCACCATTCAACCCAGCCGAAGAAGACTGGGAATCATATATTGACAGGTTCCTGATGTTTTTAGAAAGCAACGAACTGCAAGGAATCGCTGTCCAGAGAAAGAGAGCTGTATTCCTGACGCATTGCAGCCCGACAATTTTTAAAATGGCAAAGGCATTAGCAAGACCTAATGATGTTAAACAGATGGCATGGCCAGACCTGAATCGAATGCTGAGAAACCATTACGCACCAGTCATGTCCAATCTCATTAGAAGACATGAATTCTACAAGCGCGACCAACAAGAAGGCGAAAGTATTGGAGACTTCGTAGCAGTGCTGAGGGGCATTGGGGGGGGCATGCGAGTTCCTCAACATGGATGAAGCCATGAGGGATCGCATAGTCCTTGGATTGAGAGACGCTACCCTACAGAGCAAACTGCCAAACCGACCCAACATCACCGCAAATGAGGCCATCGCTGAAGCAACTGCAACCGAAGCAGCAAAGAAGTCTGCGGCAAAAATGAAGCAAATGAATACAACCAACAGCCCGAGCCAGAATAGAGAAAAGAAAACAGAGGGAGCCCAGAAACATACTACCACAACCTCTCACCATGAAGATATTGAATCATCAACCAACTCTGAAGAAGAAGACGAGGAGATAAACAAACTCCATGCAGAAAGGAACAGGAGAGAGAGACGAGGGATAAAACCTGAATTTCAGTGTGCGGGATGTGGGGGAAATCACCCGCGTTCTGAGTGTTGTTTTTTGGATGCCATCTGCAGGCATTGTGAAAAACGGGGGCACATTGTAAGGGTCTGCCGAAACAAAAAGAGCTATAGTCCAAAAAGACGAGGCAGTACCCCCCCCCCCCAGAACTAAGGAGAAGCCAACCGGAAGTCGCTGGAGCCGGGAACATAGGAGTCAATGACTCAACGGGAAGGAAGAGACACATCAGACAATCACTATTGGGACGGCGAGAACAACAAACACTAAGAAGGTTTGAATCAACGTCCTGATAGAAGGGGAGCCATGTGAGATGGAAGTAGACTCCGGTTCGTACTTATCAATGGTATCATGGAACACGATAAAAAATACCAGACATACAACAAAAAGAATTCGAAGAGCAATGCCTGATCATCAAAGACTACCAGGGTAACAAGATACCAGTGGCAGGATTGGGACATTTCAAGGTAAAGTTTTAAAAAAACACCGAAATTCTTCCATTGACCATTGTTGACCGAGATCGCCCCAGCCTGCTTGGTTTAGAATGGTTCGAACCTCTAGGAATCGAAGTGACAGGAATCAACAGCGTCGCCATGACGGACTGGGAAAAAGACCTGATGGAGGAGTTCCATGACATATTCGACGGGACTTTAGGCAAGTACCGTGGGACCCCTATATCATTTAGCCTAAACCCGAACGTAGCCCCTATCAGGCTTAAAGCCAGACGCGTACCATTTGCATTAAGGCCAAAAATTGATGAGCAACTGAACAAGCTCATCGCACAAGGGGTGTTAGAGCCAACCGACCATGCGAGATGGGAAACCCCGATTGTGACCCCCATAAAACCAGACGGGTCTGTGCGCATCTGTGGTGACTATAAGGCCACTCTGAACCATGCATTGCAACAGAGCGCATATCCCGTCCCAGTAGTCCAACACCTGCTGCACTCATTAGGGAGAGGAAGGATCTTTGCGAAGCTCGATCTTGCACAGGCATATCAACAGTTACCAGTTGATTCTGAGACGGCAGAGGCACAAACTATCGTAACACATAGAGGAGCCTATAAATGCAACAGATTACAATTCGGTGTCAGCGTGGCCCCCGGCGTTTTCCAGAGCCTGATGGAACGCCTCCTCCAAGGATTAAAAGGGGTGGTTCCCTACTTCGATGATGTACTAATATCAGCCGAAAATAAAAAACAACTAAAAGACCGATTAAGGGCAGTCTTGTTAAAATTTAGAGAAGTAGGACTAAAAGTTAAAAAAGAAAAATGCCAACTTGTCACAAATCAGGTCGAGTTCCTAGGATACCTTATTGATGAAGCAGGAATCCACCCCACCCCCCCACCCCAAAAAATACGAGCAATAAAAGAAGCTCCCAGACCCAAAAACAAAACGGATTTGCAGGCATTTTTGAGATTCATTAATTTTTATCATGTCTTTCTGCCGCAGAAGGCAACAATAGCGGAACCACTGCATAGACTCCTCGATAAAAAAGCTATCTGGAAATGGAGCCACCAAGAAGAAACTGCATTCCAAAGAATCAAAGACTTAATCACATCTAAATCTGTATTGATCCAATACAGTGACACACTTCCCCTGACTGTCACCTGCGATGCTTCACCTTTCGGTATAGGCGCAATACTTAGCCACACACTACCAGATGGCATAGAAGCACCGATCGCCTTTTATTTCAAAACGTCCAAGACCGAAAGGAACTACAGCCAACTGGACAGGGAAGCCTTGGCCGCCATCCCGGGGGTAAAACGCTTCCACGAATACCTATACGGTAGGACATTTTCCTTAATTACCGACCACAAACCACTGCTAGGAATCCTGGCCGGAGACAGGGCCACCCCCCAACATCCTGTCTCCAAGAATGACAAGATGGTCGGAATTTCTCGCAGCCTACAATTACAAGCTCATTTATCGACCAGGAAAAGCCATACGCCACGCAGACGCATTAAGCCATTCACCACTACCAGGTCACGACGACAACCCAGCTCCCACCACGCATACCGTGCAAATTGAAACGGTTCCGAATTGGCCCATCACCGCATCGGATATCGCAAGAGAGACAGCAAAAGATGCACTGATGGCCCAAATACTGAACTGGGTAGGACGGGGCTGGCCGGAAAACGAAAAAACCGAGACTTTTAAACCTTTTAAAAACCGGCAAACTGAATTGTCAATTGAGAAAGGATGCATATTGTGGGGAGATCGGGTGGTTGTTCCAAAAAAAATTACAAGAAGACGTGCTAAACATGTTACATGAAGGACACCCAGGGATGGTAAAGATGAAGTCCCTGGCCAGAAGCTACATCTGGTGGCCAGGAATAGATAAAGACATTGAAACCTGGGTCAAAACATGTAACAAATGCCAGTCATCCAGACCCACTCCCCCTTTGGCACCGGTCCTTGACTGGGAGACACCCAGAGGCCTCTGGTCAAGGATCCACATAGACTTTGCCGGACCCACAAAGGGATATACTTATCTAATCACTGTGGATGCCTACTCCAACTGGTTAGAAGTCAGCATCATGAGTTCAACAACAACGGAAGCCGTCACCAAACAACTAAAGAAACTCTTCGCCACCCACGGTCTACCAGATGTAGTAGTATTGGACAATGGGCCACAGTTTACAGCTTTGGCTTTTGAACAATTCTTCACAGAACAAGGAATAAAACATGCTCTGACAGCGCCAGCTCATCCAGCAGTGAACGGAAGGGCAGAACTCATGGTTCATTACACAAAAGAAGCATTAGAAAAACTTGAAGGAAATGACATGCAAGAAAAAATCAACACTATGCTCACCATCCAACATATAATGCCATGAACAGCAACAAACAAGAGCCCAGCTGAACTGTTAATGGGAAGAAAGTTGCGCTCCTATTTGGACAGAGTACACCCCACTTACAACCCCGAAAAACCACCAGACTCTTCCAGTAAGTACCGTTCCTTTTTGCCAGGCGACCTGGTATATGCAAAAAATCTTACCGGAGAACCGTTGTGGTTACCGGTAACAATCACACAAATCACAGGTCCCCGATCATACCGACTAGTAACAACTGACGGCAGATCGTGGAAAAGACACATTGATCAATTACGGTCACGACACATCGAACGCAACACCGACACTTCCCGAAATATGGAATAAACACTTCCACAAACACCACCAGAAAGTAATAAAAAAACTAGAGTGGGGGGGAACCTTTAAATAATAAAGGAAATGAAAACCCTCCAGTTACAAACCACCAACCAGAAGCCGAAAACCCAGGAAAAAATAAAAATTACTTACAATTAGACGATTTCGAAAAAAGAGAGCTGAAGGAGAACCAGGAAAGAAGCAGCCAAGTCGACTCTACCTGCCCGCACACAATGCAGAGGAACAACGGAGACAGTCCAGTCAACCCAACAAGGCACGGCGGGAGCGGCATGGCTGAGGCACCCTTCCAGGAGGTTCCAAAGAGAAGAGCGGAAAGGACAGCAGGCCTGTCCGAACCGGTGGAGACCAACACAGAGACTGAACTGCGCAGGTCAACAAGAACTCACAAAAGCCCCGCCTACTTGCGCGACTACGTCATGTAACGTTGGAGCAAACCAAGAGGGGAGGGGTGTAGTGTATTCACATACATACTTCTAATACCGCATTTCTATTGGTTAGTCCACATAGCTTAACGATTGGTTAATAACGACAGTTTCGGATTGGCCGCCTAAGCGGCGGGAAGTTTAAATAAATGCCATTGGTTGCGAGCTGCGAGCAGCCGCTATAAAAAGGGCTGCCGTAGCTCGACTTCAGTTGAAGTTACTGGTTGCTAATAAAGAGCTGAATTCAACTCCAGTCTTCGAGTCTGCTTTGTCCTGGCGATAAATCATACAGTGTCCTTCTTTATTGCTGTTCTTTTATATGCTAACTTCACTAAATGATAATATGCTCTCATTTGTTCTTGTTTTATTTTTCTTTCAATGGCAGTGCAAGTTTTAGGACTTGTCCTGGAACCCTTTGTGAAGGACCTGAACCCTAGTGAAACAAACACTGAATAGCAATCTAGATGATTTTAAAAATCATTCAAAAAATGCAAATTAATGATTATTGAAAATGATTCTTCTGAATGAAAAAAAAACTAAGCAAAACATGGAGAAGTCCCTCAGTAGGCGTACTTGCTTAGAAAATGTGTATCACTGAATCAGATTGTTCCCAAGGCATTCCCAGATGTACAAACTTCTATCCCCAGAATCCCCCACTCAGCATGGGCATTGTTTAGAATTCTAAGCATTGAAATCCACACATCTGTAGGGTGCCTAGATTGGAGAAAATCAACTTAAACTTTTGAAATATTTCCAACTATTTTGGAAATATCAGCTTTTAGACCAAGGGCCAAATAAAGGAAATGATTAAATTAGATGCACTTTGAAAACAATATTTTGCAATTTTGATGTGCCTATTCTAGTATCTGGGTGAAGCTCAAGGATTTGTATTGCTTTCAGGAACTTCCGGTTTGTCAGTTTCGGCAGCGGCAGGGATTCACGATCCTGCGCGATCCCTGTTGTGCTAGCCGTCTTGGTGCCTCCGATCCGGACGGGTCTGGAGGCTAAGGTTGCCCCGTAGAGACAGCCAAAGATAGGAGGGATCTGGACAGGGGGTTGGGGTTTTCGCAGACCCCTTCCCCACCCAGCTTAACCCTCTTTTCTCAAGGCGGTGGAGCGGCGGTCAGCAATGGCCGCCACAAAGAAGCTGACAGCTGGATAAGATTGTGCTGGAGGAAGAAGGAGAAAGTTCTGAAGCGAAAGTTTTTTGGCTGAACTGGGACTATAAGATACAAGTAATATCCTGAAAATCCTGATTTTTTGAAAGATATTTTGTTTCCAAAAGAGATTTACAAGCGGTGAGTGAAAGTGCTTAAAGAGAAAGCTTACTCTCCTTCCACATGGATTTAACAAATCAATATTGAAAATCCTGCTATTTTACAGAAGGTAAAAATTTAAAGCTTTCTGTTATAAGTGGGAAGGGAGAGGACAAAAGGAAAATTTTTATTAAGATTTTATTGGAGGAGATGCCTGGAAGATTTTGAGATTGGAAGTTAATTGCAATAAGACTTTAAAATACAGATTGGGTTTTTTTTTCCCTTGCCAATTGATATTACCCCAGGAAGAAAAAGTGTGAAGAACTTTGTGCTCTGTTTGGATTGTTTGATGACTTTGGGATTTTGGGGAATTGTTTCAAGCTTTGAATTATCTTGGTTGTTTTAAGAAGAAGAAGAAAAGAAAAAAGAAGAAGAAAAGGTTTATAATGGCTTTATCTGTTGATGAACTGAGAGAGGAATATGGTAAAATAAAAAAAGAAGGTAAAGACGGTGGGAGAGAAATTTTTCGCTTTTTAGAAATGGCGCTTGCCACTTATCAACAAACACAACAATTAATGGAGGAAGCAGAAGAAGAAGAAGAAGAAGAAGAAGAAGAAGAAGAAGAAGAAGAAGAAGCCATCTTTAACGAGTCTACAAAGTTGATTAAGAAAGGAAGGAGAAAGAGAGGAAGGAAAAAGGACATAAGACTTAAAAAAACATCCAAGAAAGAGAAAAATAAGATGCAAAATCAGTACAATGTTAGAAAGCAAAAGAAAAGAGAAATACAACAGAGAGGGGAGGCTAAGGGGGGTAAAAAGACCAGATGGGATAAGATAGGAAGCAAGAAGGGGGAAAAAAGCCACAAAGGTATGAAACAAGATGTGAAAAAGAAATCTTTTTTTAGGGATAATGGGTAATGCATAACTTTGTTTTAAAATGTTTCTGCAAGGTACATAAGATAGTATTGTAGTATTTGTATTAGAAATAGAAAAATAGAATTTTATAAGACTTAAGTAAAGATTAAAACATTAAAGGTTTAAAAGGAATGTTTAAAATATTTAGTTTAAGTATAGAGTTTAATTGACTATTGTGTGGATGTTTGTAACTTATTATTATGGTATTTGTTTTTGAAATAGATAATTGGAATGTTATGAGATTTAATGTTTAATTATATATTTAATTACTTTATGGATTTACTATTTTAGTAAGTAGAACGTACTAAGCAGAATTAGATAGGGAACTAGGTGTTACCTTAAATGTTAATTTAGGGGAGCGATGGAAAGGCATCATACTTCGATTAGTGATTTCAGGAGAAATCTTTTTTTTCTAATATGAATGAGATAAATGGATAATTGGAAAAGAATGGACAAAAGATACAAATATAATGATCTAAATTAAGATGAAATAAATAAAATAGAATTAAGAAGAGTGGAAAGCGGGGAGAAGTTATAATGAAGATATAGAAGGGTAAATAAGATAGGTAATGGCATATAAGTTGAACATGAATTTAATTGAAGTCCATACAAAGAGAGGTAATCCGGGGCCAAGCTACTTTTTAAAAAGAAGTTTTATGTTTTTGTGTTTTGTGTGTGTATGTTTGATTGAGATTTAATAAAACCTTGGGAGAAAGCGAGAAGAATAATTGTAAACAAGGCAGAGGGAAATATGAATATGATGAGTATAAAATGGATAAAAATAGAAGAAATGTAATTGAATAAGAGCAAAGAGAAATAATAAGAAATCTGTTAAAAAATATTTAAAACAATGTTTTATCTGCCTTGTAAAAATTTATAATGGAAAGAGGTTTAATGTCTTTAATGTCTAATGATGCTTTGTTTGTCTTTAAAATTAATAAAATTTGTTTAAAAAAAAAAAAGGATTGCTTTCAGTGGGACAGCAGAGTGTTCCAGTGTGAACCATGAAGTGTGCAAGCATGCTAGAGGCATTTTCATTTAATGGAAGGAAGTCAGTATCACTTGAAGAAATACAGGGGAATGGACTCACATGTTGCTTCTGACATGTCAGGAGTAATTGGAACTGTACCCTTCTACGCAGTTGCTGTAGTTCACAGGCTTTCACAACACCATTGTTTCCATTCCCCAATGGAGAAGTAGTTTGAAACTGTTTAATGTTATCTTCAGTTGTAACGGGAGAAAAAAGAAGTAAAAGCTATTTCTGTACAATTTTGCCTTGTGTTGCTGCAGATTGTGCAACAAGAAAAAAAAAACATCTAGGATAGGTCCATACTTCCAGCTTCTCTACCTCACTCTTATTACTGAGATGATTTACATATGGCTTTTCACAAACTGGGAGATTGTATGGTAAACCTCAAGCTGGAAAGAAAATTATATGAAGGGAACTAACCGCTCCATGATCACACGGACTGTGGGTGTCTTATTAACACAGCAAACTTACGTTCATTTTATTGTTGGTTTTATAATTGAAGTGTCCATTTAACAGAATTGCCCCAGGTATGCTAAGACTCGGCCAAAACCTTTTGGAGAGGTGCCAGTGGTAGTTAACATTAAAATTATTTCCTTACAAGGTTGAGAGTAAATTAAAATCATTTGGATCTTTAGAAAGGATATTTTAAAGTCCAGTTTGATAATAGAAACAGCAATAACATTTATGAAGCTAGAAAGTTGGAATATATCATTGTTCTTGAGTTTTTAAGAAAGTGTGAGAGAC